CTAATCCTCACCTATACTTCCACATTCCTTCCTAACTTCTCTTTCTATACCTTACCCTCCTTACCCTCTAACATCCACATCCCCCCACCACCCACCTTTCTTCTCCCATACTACCCTCCCCTCCACACGCATCCCACTTCTCCATCCCCCTCCCCTTTTCCTCCCTACCCTCCTTCCTCTCACTCCCACTTACCCACTGCTTAACCCCCCCTACCCTCTATCCTCTACTCCCCTCTCACCCCCATTTCCTCACATCTCTCTGCCCCACACACTAACTCCCCTTTCACACCACCCACTCTAACTCATCTTCCTACCCAACACCCCTAACTAAATAATCTTACCTCAGTTAAATACACCCTCCTTCATCCCACTCCCACAACTCTCTTCCCCTACATTCCCTCTACCACTCTCTTCTACTTCCATCCCCCAATCTCCCCTCTTCCATTCCTCACTACCCTATCCTCTCCTCCCCTTCTACTTCCCTTTTACCCCCCTACCATACTCACTCCTCTATCCTTCCTCCTTCTACTCTTCCAACACCATAACCTTTCCTCACACCCTTCATCTCACTCCATCCCTCCCTACCCTACTACCCTCTCCTAACACACACACACTCGTCTAGGCGCTACCTACCTCTACCATGAAACTTATTCTTCTCCCATCCTCAATCAGCCACACACTATCCCCTTATCCTCCACCTCCACTTACCTTCCCTTATACTATACATCCTCACCCCCTATAATCCCTCATATACCTATTCTCTTCTCCCCTACCTACTCCTCATTCACATACCCTTCACTATACCCAATCACTAAACCTTTCCATAACACTACCTTCTTTTCCCTCTCCCAAACCACCAATTAATTCCTCACCCCTTACTCCCCACCATTCCATCCTCAATTACTCACATACCTCCTTCTCCCCACTCTATCCTTTCCCCCTACCCAAACTCAATTCACCACCCACCTACCTAATCCTTCATTACTCCTTCACTCCTCACTTACTTTCCTTCCTCTTCTTCCTTATTCTCTACCTATATATACCCTCCCCCCTTCTCATCACCATTTTCCCTATCATATAATTTACTCACTAACCTACATTCACCTAACCCCCCTCTATTACTCCTTATTTTCCATCACCTACCTCAAAAGATTCCTCTTTACCTCTCTTCCCATCATACTCTCCCTACCTACTCCCTCACCTCACTCAATACCACCCATCCCACGATCCC